GGGGTGGGGTGGGGGGTTTCTCTTTGTTTTTCCACGGGCCCCTCTACGGGGCTTTCTCTTTGTGGGTGAAACGCTGTCGTGACACTTGAGCCTTCGTAACGCCAGTATTTAGCAATGGTTAGAGTCACAACAAGTGATTTCAAGTATAGCAACAGGTGAAATACTATTTTAAAAGGGTGCATCATGCTGCACAGACGTAGCAGGGATACCTTCTCAGCCAACAACAGCAACATATCAAGTGTCTTCTTCCATACGAGAGCGCTTGAAATTACTCATTAGGAGACTAGACCCAGCATAGACCAAATCCTTTTTGTCTCATTTGTACACAGGGATTATGTGGAAACAGCTGATGGTCATCCATAGGGAAGGTAGATAAAATTATTGATGGGGATTTCCATACTTGCGTACAAATCCAGCTGTTGTCAGATGGTTGCCATCCCGTGTTGCCGCAGCCAGATGTGTTTCACAATGACTTGTCTCACAGAGTTGTTAGCCCTCCACAAATAGTTGACTGTAGTACTCCATCTTAAAAATCTACTTTGGCCAAGTATGAAAAATTTAAAACATTTAAAAATAATCTTTCAAGGTTTTAGTTGGTACAGTTGCACATGTGGTATTTAATGGTCTAAGGATTTAAACACAGTAGAATGAAGATGAATTCTTACACCATCCCTAACAAAAGAGTTAATAGCAGAAAAATGTGCTGATGTTACTGCACGGTGCAGCCACCTTGATGCTGACCCAAGTCGTCTTGAGGCCTTTTTGTATGTAATTTCCCACTCCTGCTGGAGGTGCCAGTGTGCATTTGCAGGGGTGTTTGTCAGGTGGGAAATACAAGCTGTATTCAAGTTAGAAGACAGGTTATACAGAAGCCAGTGTAGGCATCCTTGAAATGAAAAACATACTTGTCAGTTCACAGTTGGGTTTATGAATGCCACATTCATAAACCATTTGACAATTAAATAGAAAACTGGTAGATTATAGATGTGAGACAGAGTATGAAATAGTTTGAATAATTTTTACCAGTAGGTTCATTTAAAAACTTGGGTTGTATATAGAAGAATGTCTGTGGACAGCCGCTGCCTATACATAGCATTAGATTAAAAATTACTGGTTTATAAATCTCTTTATTCAATGCTGAGCATAAGGTTCTCTACTACATGCACATTCTCCAGTAATTTCACTTTTTTTTAAGCATATTTGCCTTTTCATATATTGAAACTACATGGCATAACTAACTGCATAAGTTTGTAACCTTAGCTGTTTGTTCTGATGTATGTTGGTTTTGAACAGAGATCCTGGATTCTTAGGGGTTTTCTCCCTTCCTTTTATGGGGAATGTAAAGGGAAAATACAAAATAGTTCTTTTATAAGATTCAATAGAAAGCATGGATCAACAGGTTTGTACAAAATGGCGTTGTCCAAGTTAGTAGTTCCAAAATCATTCCTGATACAGTTGCGCATGTTCATTTCTGCTCAGATATAGAGTGTGCGTGTTCACTTTTTGCTCAGTTGGCATCATAGACTTCTACAGAAGTAACTTTTTTAATTTATGGTGTGGGTTTTTTTCTTCCAGTCCTTTAAACTCCTAGGATTTCTTGATGTTCAAAGTGTCCCATGTTCACGAGAATCCGTACTCTATGGCTCCGTGGGATCTTTAGTTGTGGGTCTTGGACATTTTTTAGCAACTAGTAAGTACTTAATCCTTCTGGGTTTTATATATTTATTTGTGAGGAAAAATTAATTCCTATTTGCTGTTAGGTTTTATTAATAATGGGAAGTCATCCAAGATTTTTTTTCTCTGATTTTTTTGAGGATTTTTGTTTTTCTTCCAGGTAGAGTTAGAAGATCTTGTGACTTTGCAGTCGGTGGCTTTATTTGCACAATGTTAGGATACTGGTATGTAGAACGCTTCTTGAATTTTGACAGACCTATGTTGGCTGCTTTATACAACATGATCCCTATGTGACCTTTCACAGTGCTTTTGAAACTCCATAAAAAACTTGCCTAGCAGAGCATCCTCTTCCTTCTCCCAAAAATATTTATTTTTTTAAAGGAAAAGTGTTCAATGCTTTTGAATTTGTATGTTAGTATTTTTTTTTTAACTTGCTATTGTTTTCTTGAATCCTAAGAGATTAAACCACCCAGTTACTTCCGTCTTTCCTAATTCTTTCTTTTTTCCTTCACATATGCCATCCTTCTGTCCTAATTATAAAGGCAGCATACCAAATGGTCATGAAATTAAGATTCAAATTACAGAAATTAGTGTTTTCCATTGGACTTGTATGTCCAGCTCCACAGAGGCTGCATAATGTTTGCCTTAAAGAAATAGCTGTTACCCTAGTATTTTTATTATGCATCATTTCATAATTAATTTTACTAGCATTATTATATGTGGTTTCAACTTTTCAACTGGCTGAATAACTGATTTGATACTGTCACTCTTATAAAGCAGAGAATTGTGTTTTCCTTTTATCCCCTCCTCTAGGTTTTACTGCAGGTACAATTTGGCGCAACACAGGATCCGGCAAAGAATGCTTAAAGAAGGAATGAGAAACAAAATTTTATTTGAAGGCAGTTCTCTTGATCCAGAAAGAAAACAAACTGGCAATGAAAGAGGCGATTCATAGTCTGCTGTAGAGGAATCCGTGGTCTAATAGAGATTTGGGAGAAGGTGGTCCAAAAATGGCAGTCTTCCCTGTAAATGTGTGAGGTGCCTAAAAATCATGTTGGTTTTCCTAGCAAATCCAAGCGAGAAATTCATAGTGAATCTGTTATGTCGGTGTACAAGCCTTTCTTTGTTTCATGTATGTATGTATATGACTATGTACACAGTTAAGAATGACCTCCTATTAAACATCTGGGAACTGATGTCTCCTATTACAGGGTCTCAGAGGATTAATGACAGGGTGTCGGGACTGCTTTAACTTGCATTATAAACAGAACAGTTCGTTGTAGCAAAGTTGTAATTGCATCTCATTTACATACAGGAAAATATTTTTATCAGCTGTTCTCTGAGCAAATGTGTCCTTCAGTGCTACTGTTAATTGTGCTGTTTGTAAAACAGGAATATTTAAACAGTAGGTGAAGGCTTTGCTTGTGCAAGGTGGGTGATATCCATAGCCTTTGTCAGATTTCAGCTGCAGAGTAACTTCACGTAATTTATATACACTGTGAAGTTGAAGGATTTCCATTTTTGTTCTGTCTGTGTGAAACTAAATAAAATCACAGTTCAGAAGCAGTCTAAGCTATGTAAGTAACTTATCTTTTTACTTGGATTAAAAATCTTGCTCTTCTGTATAAGACATTTCCTTACAATTGGTGGAATAATAATTTACATTATTTGTAAGTAGCAATGGTCAGTAGTTTAAAAAAAAAAAGGCATGTTCTACTTGTATATTTCACTGTGCATTTTCAGTTAAATGAAATAACACCAGATAACTTCAAGGAAACCATCTTATTTGGAAATACAGTGTTAGAACTAATTGCATATTGGTAGAAAGATGAGCAATGGCATAATATTCCCTGCTTGCTTCTGCCTACACCAGTGACAGCATGTATTTACTTTTTCCACAAACTGATTTATAGTATACTACGCTGTAAGCGCTTTTTGGTCTCGAGGCATTCACTGAGCAAAAATAGTCCTTTCCCCCACCCTATATTTAGTCTGAGAGAGTTTGCAATCTGTTGTTAACTCAAGTAGGTGTGGGGAGGTTTGGGAATCCAGATGTAAACAGCAGCATTGCTCTACTTACTTAATTTGGAAATACACAGGAGAGCACTAAACAAACATGCTATTTACACTAAGATAATTAAACTTTTACCCTCCCTGGATTAGCCTTTTACAAGAAGAAAACAAACCTGTATATTCTGTTTCCTTTTTTCCCCCCTATTCCTCCTCTTTCTTCCGGAAGGAAATAATGAAGATAAATTTTATGGAGGACATTCAGTTCAATAATTTTATATAAAAGGTCTCCAGAAAACTTGGGTTAGCACGATGAAACACTTTCTGTCCTCACTGCAAAATCTAAACCCGGAAGTTAACTGGTAGCCAACTCTAATTCAGAAGAGAAAGATGTTTCCCCTGGTTCTGTGCTGGGGGGGAGGGAGGCTCCTTCCCTGTGGATGGGGTGGGCGGTGTTGCCTCGTAAAGCCCTTGGAGCGGCAGTGGGAAACTGGGCGAGCCGTGAGCAAGGACTTAGCAAGCTCCTATTTTAATACATGGTTGAGTTCTTTCCTATCTGACCTAAGAAAGGGAACAGCAACCTAAGCAGGGGGTCTTTTGGCTGCGAGGTCATAGTTCAGCTGGGAAGCGAGGAAACAAAAGCGTGCAGGTGAAAATTCACTCTTTGGCAAAGAACAGCTGGCGAGAAAGAAGAGAGTGCTGGTTTGTACTGATAGGAAAGAAGTTAGCAGTGCACAAGTACTGTGACCATGTCGAGAAAAAAAGCAGAAGCATCTGGGGAAAACTGCAGCATTAGATCCTCTTCCGTGTTAATTGGTGTTGGTTTAAGCTACTGCATTTAAGGGTATTAGCTCAATAGCAGCTTAACTACAGTATTAGCAATTCTGGCCAATAACTGTGAAATCCGAGATGTATCTGCATTGCGTAGAGAGCCGATCTAATACTTCTGCCTCACTGTGCAAAATGTAAAAGGAGCGTGCCAGATGTTAACAGAAAAGTGGGGAAAGAGGCAATACGCAGGCAGTCTGGCCGGCACGTTCGAGCTTCATTGTCCAGTACAAGTTGAGGCGGAATTGAGCTAACCAAACGTCAGAGCTTGTGCTGAATTGGGGCGGGGGGATAAGGCAAGGAGGCTGTGAGCAGGACTTGGTTGGTGTGAAAGGGGAGGGCCTGCAGTAGCAGAGGGAGGAATGCTCATGGTTAAACATGCAGGGGAAAAAAAAGAAAAGTCTGAGATAATTCCTCGAAGCGCAGCTACAGCTGCTCCAGCGCCAGCTGTGGAGAGTGACTGATGGGTTACAAACCCCTGTCTGAAGGGCGAGGGACAGGACAAAACTCCAAAATCTCAAAGCTGTTAGTTGTCATAACTTAGGATCCGTTCAGAAGAAAATAAAAATTGTAGTAACTCAATAGAAGCATTTGTAACATTTGAAAGCAATTTCCTAACTGTTTTTTAAATTAGTGAGCCATATCCCTATTGGTGCTGATTTTTTTAATATGAGTCATTGGTGGGCACACATAGCATGTATTGCTGATTTATAGTTGGACTTGGTATCTTTATTGCTGCTAATGGCAGATGTGATAGTTCTTGCTTTATTGAGGTTCAAAACATTCCTCAAATTAAAACATACTAGAAAGGAAGAGAAATAGTAATTCTGAAGGTGTTTGGTTTTCTGCCCTCTGACTGAGCCTTAAAAAGGAGAGAATGGAGTATAGCAACTTTAAGCTATAAAGTTGCTAAAATCTTGTTTATTTTACTGACAGTTACGTTACTTGGTCACCAAACTGCCAAGCACACTTAGTTTTTATCCCTGAAGTTAGTAAAATCCTCCCTCAAAGCATTCCAAAACATGACCAAAATAAATAGGTGGGTTTATGGCCCCGTTTGCTCCCCCACCTCTGGCTCGTCCCGCTCCCCGCAGGAGCGGTGCCTCTGGGGAAAAGGCGTTTGCCAGCGCTGGTTTGGGGCTCCCAATGGATGGCGAGCAGGGCGCACGTCCTCCGAGCCTTTCCGGAGGGAAAGTCACTGTCACAGCACCAGGCTGAAACGCGGCAATCTGAGGTTCATTGCCAGCTCCGTTGTGGGATGTGTGTGTGAGCAGGTCGCCTCTGCAGCGTAAACGTAACGCTTCGTCCATTGACAACTGGGACAGGCTCAAAACCCAAGAACTTTTTTGAAGTTGATAGCAGGGGCAATGGCCACTGTCATCCCAAACTCATCATTTACCTCTTTACCCAGCCAGAGATTTTGGGGAGGCGTTGGCTCTGGTTGCGTTTTGCAGGCTTTCAGGCTGTTGCGTGTGTGTCACCGTCCACCCCAAGTTGTCGAGCGCTGCAAAGGAAGGGTCACCTCCTGTCATTAACAAATGAGTCTGGCTTTTGGTAGGGGGATTCCTGGGGGGGGTGGGGGTGGGAAGCACTTTTGTTATTTCTGGTGTGAGCAACCCAGGTAACAATGAAGTACTGTGTGAACTCAGTTGTAATGAGCTCCCAAGTGAAAGGTTTTCCCCAGCTTAGCAGGCTAATTCCCACACTTCTCTCATTCCCACATCCAGGCGTTTAGCTCAGGGGCTTGGTGGTCACCAGTGAAAGTTGTTTGGTTTGCTCCATTTAAAGTTTGAAACAAATATGTTGTTATTGCCTTGGAAAACTGATCAAAACAAAGGTTTTACAGTATGTTCAGACCATCAAGAAGATGATCCTTTGATGATGATTTTTTTTTTTTTTAATTGAAGAACAAAGAATTAATTAAATGTCAGAAGCGGAGCTGAGTTTTAGTTAATGTGACTCAAGGCCTTGGAACATATATCCTTCTTACGCTTAAAATTAAAGTATTACACTAGGCAGCTGTGGCTGGTGAACCTTCAAACGGGGGCAGGGGAGAGGGGTGATGAGGGGAAGGTAGAGCCTTGGATGAGACAATTTGAGGAAAACACAGGCTTTTATTCCCAGCTAGCAGCACCCCGACTAAAAGTGTTGGTAGGCTCCCATGTTTCCACATGCTCTCAATTTTTTAATGCGTGGGCTCATAGTTTGCCTGAGAGCCCCCCAGCAGTGGGGCTGCCCCTTCCTGCAGGAACAGGGCACAGCATCCCTCTGGCTGCTTGTTTTAAAGATGAAGAGTAGTTCGTTCTGAGGAGGATGTTTTAACCCTGCCAGCTTCTGTCATCCATCATGAGCAAGACTGCGTCAGACCCCTCAACTTCCCTGACTGTGCCAGGAGCCCACGGGCAGTGCCTGAAATGTACTGTGGGAGCAGACAATGACCACTGGCAGGGCTCTTTCTCTTCAGACAGGCCACAGCTCCAAAAATACCCAGCCGGTACATTGTGGGGATGTATTTAATGGAACCGAAGATTCCCCCCTCTCTGTCTTCATGCTCTGGAGAGAAGGAAACCCATGCGTTGCTTATTTGTTAAACTCCATGTTTATTTTGTCAAGTGCTGTTACAGAGAGCAGCAGGTGCGCCCTCAGCCAACGTGGCTTCTCTCCCTGGCCAACAGATCCTCATCTCTCCTATCAATGGCAGATGGCTTGTGATCAACCCCGGTGATGATGATGTGTGTTTATCCATGAGACGTCTTGGCCTTCAAGCCTGCATATATGTGCGTGGCAGGTTTTTGGAGCTCACCCACAAGCTTTACAACTCCAGCTGATATTCATGCTTTCTATCAAATGGGTCAAGAGTTCTTACCACCTTTACCTTTGCCAGGTGGCTAAACCCGGTGAGAAAGATCTCTCTGCACCAACTCGTCACTGTGACACTGCACAGATGCTGCAGAAACAGGGCGAGAGACCACCCGGCCCTTTTGTCCATGGCTCCTTCTGAGCAAATTCACAGTCAGGGTGCCCACAGTCCCCACCAACAGGATATGTTACTTAAGGGAAGCTAACATCCCCTTTCCCTGTCGGGAAACATTCAGGCTCTGGCTGAGATAGTAGCAACATCGCTGAAGATGAGAAGCCAGTAACTGATTTATTATGGGGCAGATACATTATCACAAACGGCTGTTGCAGGAGTCCTTCATAGAGCAAATACAGAGCAAAAAAAATTCCAAAGGCCTGTTCCTCAAAATAGAGGGGATAATGCTCTGTTCAGCCCCCTCAAAAGAAATCTGGAACTACCAGTGATTATCACGTGCTGTGCTTACAACGTTTTCAT